GCCTTTCATCAGGACACCGAGCGTAAACGGCATTACCAACAGTGACATTACCAAATCGATAATAGCGTATGACAGAATGTACATGTGGATGGCGTAACGCAGTCTTGCATTCCTGTAGATCGCCAGGCACACGATGAAACCGGAAAGAATTGCTGCTATTGTCAAACAACCACTGGTTAAACTCTCGGTGACCACGACTTCTGTGCATCTGTTGTGTAGCGCCGTTTGTAGGTCACTCGGCGATCCATCTTGCTGGGCACGCATATTTCACTCTCTCTCGAACTTGAGTAGACACAAGTCAGTGTAATTGCAACGAGAACAGCAAATCGAATAATATTATGAAAAATTCACCGATGAAGTTTCCTTGCCGGGTGTTTTGTTGTGACTTTTGGCGCCTTCAAATGTAGTTTACAAAACTTTTCAATTTATGTTTATCTGAAGAATCCGGCGTCCAGGTTAAAATTTTGTCGTAACATACCGGAATTCCTCCGCGATCAACGCACAAGTTGATTGATCCGATGAAATAGTATTAAACTCAGTTTCTTCGCTTCAAACGCGTTTCTTTCTTTGGTTCTCATCGTTTGTCGATAGAAACGTTTCGAATAGGTTTTGCCGATTACGAAACAAAGTAATTATTTATGAGTGTGATGCAGACCAAAATTTCACCTGCTTAAACTGTAATTGATACCGGGTTGTCTATTAAAAGTTGGCCTATAGAGGACGGCTTGATAACTTCTGTTATGGTAATATGGGCTGTATATTTCTGAAGATGACGAACCGTAGCTAGTTACGTAGCAACCTTTTCATCATTATAAAAATAAGAGGAAAATACATAAATTGTTTTCTAAGCATTAGGTCGCCAGACAGTATGGACTCGAAATTTCCCCTTCTTTCTCTTCTTGCGTGTTTATGGAAAGACAGAGAAAAAAAACAAACAAAAAAAACCACTCTTTTCTTAGCAAAAACAGATTTTGTGCCGTCTAGGACTTTACTTTGACTGACATGCTTAGACTAAAAAATTCAAAAGGTTTAGCTTTTTCTCCGCCACCACGAAAAATNTAGATCGCCAGGCACACGATGAAACCGGAAAGAATTGCTGCTATTGTCAAACAACCACTGGTTAAACTCTCGGTGACCACGACTTCTGTGCATCTGTTGTTTAGCGCCGTGTGTAGGTCACTCGGCGATCCATCTTGCTGGGCACGCATATTTCACTCCCTCTCGAACTTGAGGAGACACAAGTCAATGTAACTGCAACGAGAACAGCAAATCGAATATGAAAACTTCACCGATGAAGTTTCCTTGCCGGGTGTTTTGTTGTGACTTTTGGCGCCTTCAAATGTAGTTTACAAACTTTTCAGTTTATGTTTATCTGAAGAATCTGGCGTCCAGGTTTATAGGTTAAAATATTGTCGTAACATACCGGAATTCCTCCGCGATCAACACACAAGTTGATTGATCCGATGAAATAGTATTAAACTCAGTTTCTTAGCTTCAAACGCGTTTTTTTCTTTGGTTCTCATCGTTTGTCGATAGAAGCGTTTCACTGAAATAGGTTTTGCCGATTGCGAAACAAAGTAATTATTTATGAGTGTGATGCAGAGCAAAATTTCACCTGCTTAAACTGTAATTGATATCGCGTTGTTTATTAAAAGTTGGCCTATAGGGGACAGCTTAATAACGTCTGTTATGGTAATGTAGGCTGTATGTTTCTGAAGATGACGAACCGAAGCTAGCTACATAGCAACCTTTCCATCATTCTAAAAATAAGAAGAAAATACATAAATTGTTTTCTAAGAATTAGGTCGCCCGACAGTATGGACTCGAAATTTCCCCTTCTTTCTCTTCTCACGTGTTTATGGACCGACAGAGAGAAAACAAACAAAAAAAAAACCACCTTTTTCTTAGCAAAAACAGATTTTGTGCCGCCTAGGACATTACTTTGACTGACATGCTTAGACTAAAAAATTCAAAAGGTTTAGCTTTTTCTCCGCCACCACGAAAAATCCTGCCAGGCTTGAATGAGACGTTCATAGAAAATTGCAAGCTGCTAAAATAGGAAAAGCAAGGTCGAGTTGAGGTGGCCAGTCAAGTACCGCAGGATACTGCGATTTTGCCTGCTAGCTGAGAATGACATGGTAGTCGCACTTCATACAGGAGGGGGCATTGAAAAACGAAAAATTAGGAGCACAATTAAAAATATTCAAAGCAAACTCAATATTGGAACCTCTACTTAATAAGTCACTGCTATAAAGGAAGTGAATTTTAACAATGCAACGAATTCACAGGGCAAATGGCGCGCTGTAAGACAAACAACAAATTATCCATATGTGATCTTCTCGTGACCAAAACAAAAATGTTTACTACAGGCGGAGTAAGAGAGCTACAGATATAAAGGAAGTTTGTGTATAGTATGATACTGAAAAGTTAAAAGGGTCAACGACTTCATTTTGTCAACTACACCCAGGTTAATTAATACAAAGCTAAGATCGACATGGATCTTCCTCAGGGCAATATTGATGTCATGCAAAGTTCTATTTTACTTTACAACATTTTCATGGCAGTTATATTAAGTGAACTGAAAAGAAAAAAATTTATTATATGCCTCGTAAGGCTTGCTCGACCGGGTAAATAAGGAAGTAAAACTTGATTTTCGAATCAGTTTTTCTTGCGTGTATCCACTTAAAGATTTATGTAGATTAAGACTCGTATTAAAAATAAAATCAATATATGCTAATTACTTGGCAATGTTGACTACAAAGTATAATTGGCCAAAAAACAGAGTTTTTAATATGTATTGGGTGGCAGCAATCGGTCTTACCATTCGTAAAGCAAAATAATTTGAAACTTTGCCAGCTGGATTCCGCAGGATTCTTGGATGTAAATTTTGCTCAGTGGCGGATCTAGGGGAGGGGCCCAGGAGCCCGCCCTCCCGTCTTTTGGGTAAAGAAAGAAATAATCACAGAAGGAAGAAAAGCCGGCAGGGCAAGCAAAACAAAACCGCCCCCGCGCCCTTAGCTGAAGGTCTGGGTCTACCACTACTGCTCTATATATTCTTTTTGATGTGGAAATCAATCTGATCAAGATACTAACACGGGATTCTGCATTTCGATTATCTGTCAGTTGGAAATTTCCTCATGCCTGTCAGAAACCCTGATAAAGATTCCTGTTCGTGGCAGAAAATCAAAGGATTTCATTTGGTTGTGTTGTGAAAACGCCAATGATACAATATAGTTTGTATGAAGAATACCATCGTGGATTTAATCCTGTCTTTGTCAAAAAAAAAAAAAAAATTGAATCGTAGAAAGGCCCCAAAATTTTATCCAGAGGCAATTTATTAATCTTTCTTGTCAAACCATTAAAATCCAGATAATTACCCCCTCTTGTAGTCTCCCGGAAAGGCAAAGTATTGGGGGATTGCCGGCAAGTTAATCAATATTATGTGACTTTAACTGCCAGGAAAATTCATGACGATTTTGATTTTCTTCCCAAACCTGTTATTGAACGTTTCTTTCCAAAATCATGCAAATCGACTGAAAACGAGAAAAGGAAATAATAGTAACCAAAGAAAAATTAAATCTAGTCTCCTGCAATATATTTTTTTTTCAGTTGAAGGATTACATTTCTCGACTAATCCAGGAAATTGTGACAAATTTACTGACCAGTAAAGGCAGTTAAAAGGATGAAGCTATTTCCAACCATCTTATTTTTGTGTTAAAACACTTTCAAAAGATGTTTGTTTATAAAATTTTCTTTCGTTTGTGTAAAGGTTTTATTGTAGTTTCACTTTCTTATCGCCGATGATTTCGCACGTTATTCATTCATTGTAAAAACTCAAATTATAAATAACCTGTATTCGATATTCGGAAAGTGACGTTTTTACACCCGTTGACAAAGTCTCTTTTTCCCACTTTGAATTATTCCTACTGGCGGATCCAGACCTTGAGCTAAGGGTAATGGTGGTTCTGTTTTGCTTGCCCTGCCGGCTTTTCCTCCTTCTGTGATTTTTTTTCTTTTTTTCCTAAGATAAGGGGAGGGTTTCCCCCGGGCCCCTTCCCTAGATACGCCACTGATTCCAATCAGTAACGCTCCCCCCGAGCAAATTTTAGACGAATGTTCCTTAGACCTGAGGAAGTCAGTTCTGACGGCACGAAACAGCTGCTGGAACTGCACTCGGTGGTAAATGTAAACAACTCGAATAAAATCACGAGAATCACATCACGAAACGTAAATTGTGATCATGATAAATTTATAATTAAACGATGCTCATTCAGTTTTTGATTGAAGCAACTCAATCGAGCTTTTAAAATTATATGATCACAGCGTTTTCACGTGGTGAAGATATTAGGCATAAGGTTTAATGAGTAAGGAAAATTAAATTGAACTTTTTTTGACTTTGCTTTTAACCAGGGGGAATGTCGGCTATAGTGTAGTAAATGTTAGACATGCAGAAGCAAGCAAAAATACATCAGTATACGTGCTATATATTGTTGTTTTTAGTCAATTTTAAAAGGAAATAAAATTTGGTTAGAAAGCAGTTTCGATGCAAATGAGTCACCAAACTGAATTGCCTCCCTGATGGAATACTTAGGAAAGCTATATTGGTTCTTCTTTCACAATTAACCTGTGAAAACGTGATTTGCAGCTGTTTCACTTGATTTGGTTGAAGAATGACATCCACTCACTTTCATTGTTTAGACAAAATGAATTCGTTGTTTGTCAGCAGCAACCATTCCTTGACCAATCATAGTTGTCGTTATAGTAATTTCAAATTATAATTGTGCTATTTATAATCTGAAACAGCTATAATGATTGACTGAAAACATCAGTCTCCTTATTAAATATAACTAAAGACTTCTTACAGTGGGCGATTTTCCCGGCTAGAAAGCGGAGAACCTTCAGAGCTCATCGACGTCACGGCTTTGCTGCCGTAAATCGTGCCGTACACAATTTTTGAAATGTCTGCAAATGAGTCAGGAAATGAGCAGCTGCGACTGGAAAAGCTCACTCTTGAGCTTCTTAACCGCGAAGCCTCGCTTGTTGTGATCGAGACTTTAATTTGTGTTGTTATAACAGGAGCCTCAGTAGTCGGCAATGTTCTTGTAATGGTTGCTTTATATAGAAACGCGAGGCTGCGGAGACCTTCAAATCTTTACATAGGCTCGCTTGCTGTTTCCGATATCATTTTGTCATCTGTTGCGATGCCGTTTACGTGCATTTCGGCGATTACTGGGCGCTGGATCTTTGGAGAAGCCATCTGTTGGCTGCAGGCTTCTCTCGCCACGATGCTGGGGACGACATCCTTGGCGACCATGGCGCTTATCGCGGCGAACCGGCTTTTAAAAGTCGTTTATCCGAACACGCATCGCAGACTCATCTCAGTCAAGACAATTCTCTTCTCCATCGTTGTCGCTTGGTGTTTTACGGGGGCTATACCGCTATCGTTTTATATCACTGGCGTGCGAAACGTTTTTCATCCCGGCCACGTCGTTTGTTTGTTTGATTTCAGCTCCGCGAGCTATGCCCTCATTGCCTCGATTGCAGTTTTCGACGCCTTCATGCCATACCAAGTCATATTTATCTGCTATTTCAAAGTATGGCGTTTCGTTAGGAGCCACCGTTTTCAAATGAGCACTTCTCATGATCATGTAAACGTGGAAGAAGTGAAACTTAATCGCTTGCTGGCCGTGATTGTTATAAGTTTCACAATTTGTTTCACACCGTTCTTAGTGGTCATCTTAATCGAGAGTTTTCGTCAGCAGTTCTCCCTTCCTCGAAAAGTTTACTTTTTCAGTACAGTCATGATTGGAACAGCGAGCTGCGTAAATCCCGTTATCTACGGGGTTTTGAATAGGGATTTTAGACGAGAATTTCGTTTAATATTTCGCATTAGGGGCAGAGGGACCAGGATAGGAACAATAGAATAGGCAAATGCGCGGCAAGCTGAGAGAGGCACAGTCAGTATACCTTAGGTTTTTAATTTTTTTTTAGTATATCTTAGCTGAGTCAATACTCCGGCTTTATATTAGCTAAGATAAAAAGTAAACAACACAATTTCAAAGCTGCCAAAGTGGAGTAAGATAATAGCTTAATAAAAAAATCCAGTTTTTTGCCCGTTGCATTGCGTCGCCAAGCCTTCGAACACGAACGTGCCAGGCTTACAGGTGAATTTTGTGGTACAAGAATATGCAGGCAAGGAACTCTCTTGACTAATTTCACTGCCTCAAAGCTGGCTAATAAAAACAGAGCAAATTAAAAAAAGAATGGTTGAAAACCAGCTGCCTTAAGCTTCGCAGTTAATAGACAGCTGGAATTGTCCTCCATCCGGTATTCCTTTTGTTTAAGTAGCAGAATTGTGTATACTAACCCGGTTTAGTAATATCAAATGAATAGCTGCATCGAATGGTAAGGGCACCAAAATGAAAAAATCCTTCTTTTCAAGTCTGTGATTTAGACAGAGCTTGACATTTACTGTCAGTTCCGGATCTTTCTATCATGTTTTATTTGCTATTATTTTCCCTGCTTTTAATCAAACTCAGATAAATTAAACAACATAAATAAACATGTCAAGCAGTTTTTCAAATGTTTCGTTCAATAACCTAAGTTCGCTATTTTTTTTTTTTTTTTTTTTT